ATATCCTGCCCATCTGGTATTTTCTACCACTCTGGGCGGCTAACAACATGCCAGACATCATAGTAGTAAAGGAAATCAAGAGGTATGTTTTGTTTTGTTTTTGTTCTTCTTAGCTCCAAGGCCGGTTTGACCTGGCTGTTCTGGAGAAGAGAGAGTGGTCCACTAGGTTCTACATAGATTTGTCAGCACATTTTCAGCATCAAGAATTCACTGCTGATACAAAATGTATCCAAGTGTCTTGCAAAAGTAGGTAAATGCGATGTCAAGGGTTGCGGGGGGTCCTGTTTCTTGGCTTGCTAATTATACTAATTGGCATAAAAGAGTCTTGGTCAATAGGGCCAGAATATGAATAAAATGTGTCTGATGTGCAATGTGGCAACATCAAGTCAAAAAGGGGGGAAATGTCAAGCAGGCACAAAAAACCACACAAGCAGCGTCAGCAGTTGCCACCATTCCTGCTACGGCTTCCACCCTTCAGCATCGAGGGCTTCAAACACAGCACAACTGACTGTTTCTAGTTGGTAAAAAGAAGATTCCTTCTCGCCTGGACTTTTGAATGATGGGATGAGCAAAAAAAGACAGATACATGATTGCTTTGGCTGAGCCGGAAGACAATGGAACTGTTTAGATATGCTACAAGGTTTGATATTTTTAGTGGCTGAGCAAAAAAAGACAGATACATGATTGCTTTGGCTGAGCTGGAAGACAATGGAACTGTATAGACATGCTACAAGGTTTGATGTTTCTAGTGGCTCCAGGCCCAGAGTGTACTCAGATAAGATGTTATGGTCACATTTTGTACCGACGACTAAACGACTAAACACACACACCAGGCCCAGAGTGTACTCGGATAAGATGTTATGGTCACATTTTGTACCTCAGGACAAAGGGATTACTTAGAATAAAGAAGGCTGGTGCAATGCACTTTTTCCTTCTGATTTTCCAATCTGGATTCTCCTGTATCACTTCTCCTGACTTTCTTCTGAATCTTCAGGAACCTGTTCCTTGGAGTAGGTAGGTGTATGTCTTTCTTTCTCAATCCTTAGACCAAACAGCTGAAATACAGTGAGCTTCAGCTAGAGGACAGGTGGAAGATCGGGTGTGTAGGGGAGGAATATACTGTTTTTGAAAGAGCTACCTATGGATAATTTTGCATGACTACATCGTGATACAGTACTTATATCTGATACTTTAATACACGTTGTCTCTTGCTTTGCACTTTCCATTTCATTGTTGCATTGTATTGTGCTAGAAATTCATTGATTTCTTTTATAATGTGTCTTCATTTTGTGGATCTTATTCCATGCTTTACCTAAGGTAAATGTTCCCCTTGACATTTAGTCCAGTTGTGTCCGACTCTAGGGCGTGGTGCTCATCCCCGTCTCCAAGACATAGAACCAGTGTTTTGTCTGCTGACAGTTTCTGTGGTCACGTGGCCAGCATGACTAGACATGGAACGCCGTTACCTTCCCACCAAGGTGGTACCTATTTACCTACTCACATTTTTACATGCTTTCGAACTGCTAGGTTGGCAGGAGCTGGGACAAGCGACGGGAGCTCACTCCGTCGTGTGGATTTGATCTTATGACTGCAAGTCTTCTGACCTTGCAGCACAGAGGCTTCTGCGGTTTAGCCTACAATGCCACCATGTCCCTATGCTTTATCTACTATGATTTAAATAAATCTTCAAATTCATTGCCTCTGTGGATAGACTCAGATCATCTCTGCTTACGCCTTTCACCCACTGGAGCAAATAAAGGACCTAATTTTCACTACCAGCCCATTGGGAGCTCCCACGCCACCTGGCCCTGTGCCACTGCTGCTAGTGTATGTGGAAGAAGAAGACTCACATGTTCTGGCGCTGGTGCTCCACTCCCTGCCTTGCTCCAAATGCCACAGCAAACCCAAATGCATGCCTCTTCCTGCCCCCTTCTCCAGGTTCCCTGCCCTCCCTCCTGGTTTTTGGTTGCCCTGACATCTGTCAGAACCTGATGCCATCCGGGAATGGCTGGAGATGGAAACCCAGAGTTTCAAGCCACCTCACCCTAAAAATGCATCTTTCTCCCCCTGTAGCACTACGTGCCTCAAGATTGGTCTCCCCAGCTGAAGAAGCATGGGGATTTTCTGGAATTCCAGCCAGCTCCCTGAGACCTAGAAGCCCTAACTAACATGGATGGAAACAAGGTGGAGGTCTTCAGCCAGGCACATGGCCTCAGAGGAAGAAGGGGTTTAGCCATGTGGGAGCACAGGAGCCAATTCACCCCCCACCCCAGGCAGAGTTGAGGGGGCCAAATTATATCTTATAAAAAGGCTACCGCAAAGCAGGGGATAACTTCCAGTACGACACAGACCCAGGTTGTACTATGAGGTGCTGTAGAGTAGTGACAGTGCTGGGTCATGACACGCAACGGTATTATGGGAGAAATTCCTTTCCTTCTTATGAGCTCTTCCTGAACATCGCAAGACGCCCCTTGGTTAAGAAACAGTACAATGGAAAAGGGATATTGGTATCTGGTAGGGAGAATTAAACTGCAGGTATCTGTGGTGGCATAAAGCATGTGTGCATGTGTACAGCCTTGCACATGTATGCACATGCACACATTCACTGTTGTAGCTCACCAGTTCCTGACCTACACACCTTGCAAACAAAGTGCAAAATGGTACAGTTCAGGGAGGGCATGTGCTAAGTGAAGAGTGGACAGCTTTAATTTAGCCTAGAATGATGAAGATTTCCCAGAGACTGGCAATATTTCTTAGTTTGGCCAACTAGAGCTGATAAATCATTTCCCCCTAATGATCCAGAAAAGGTGCTTAGCATTTCTGCCGCGATGGCAGCTCTCAGTGATTAACAAGGCAAAACACAAAAACAACCCATCAGCAGAAAAACTTGTCTTTCTCACATACAGAAACACACACACACACACGCACAACTGATGTGACCAATTTGTGCAAAGCCCTGTTTCCCTCCATCTGCTGAAGGGCTTAAAAACCAGGCTTGCTTGATATAAAATGGAGAGGAAAATTCTCATTTACTTTGCTGCGAGGGAGGCAGACTTTAATATCCAACAAGAAAGCAAAGACTTTGCATTCAGTAGTTGAGTTTCACAGCCAAATCACTTACAATGCAGAAATGTTACAGGGATTTCGAGAAATCTTTCAATTTTGCAGTCTTTCTAGCTTTGCATCCATCTATAATGAGTTATGCAAGGGAGCTCTGACTACAATCTGATTAACACCAGATTACAATATAGTGCTTTTTAAAGAGCTTTAACAATAACAACAGCCACCCAAACTCAGCTCATGGTCACAGATCCCATCTGATCATATAATCGGGTCTCTTCCAAGTAAATTGATTGCGGTGTTCATCAAGAATGAGAAATAAACTGACAGCCATTCTTGCTTCAAACAATCTGCTTTTGTAAATCCCTTTTGCAGCAGTGCATCGGCATTATAGGGCAAGTGGAACGTCAGTAGTACAGAAGTGCACTGTGTCTTCCCTCTGATACATTCGCAGGATGCCCAAGCTGGCCCTGAACTCCTTTTACCACATGTGCTGTGATTCCATATGCGTCTCTGCCATCTCCTAGAGAGGTGCTTCCCAATCTTGAGTAACCCAGGTGTTCTTGGACTGCAACTCCCAGAGGTCTTCACCCACTAGCTTTGCTGGCTGGACTTTCTGCGATTTTTAAATAGCTACTTTTGGTCTCTTATCAAAAGGAAGAATCACAAATGTAGACTAGGATGGTTAGCCACCAAGGCCACACCCATCTGAAAACTAGAAGTGACTAGGAGTTCATTTTTGGTTTTCAGATGGGGAAAAGCACTATTAGAGGCCTGAAATAGTCAATGCCATAGTCTAAAGGCCTCTATGGCCATGAATGCTTCAGATGGGGAAAAGCACTATTAGAGGCCCAAAATAGTCAATGCCATAAGGGCTCTATGGCCATGAATGGCCATTTTTAGGTCACTCCTCTTGGTTTAGTGATAAACCTTGGCCGGCTGGGTGCTCCTAGCGAAGCCACACAGCGCCTACTCCTGCTGTGCACAACAAAGATTCTTAACCCTGTGACATGCACGTGGGCCCCAGCTGCTTGATTTGGGACCCTTGCCCACTTTCCCTAGCATCCAGGCTGATCAGCTGAGCAATAGGAAAACTCTGGAGCAGCGATGTAGCCACAGTGGGTTACTGTGGGATAACAGTTCCAAGCACTGATTAGAAAAAAAAAATCCTTCCAATTTCAGATCACTGACTGGAGATAAAATCAATGTAATGGCCTTCGGCCTTTAATCAGGTTCTGCCATTATATTTTAAAAGGATTTAAAGAACAAATTAATTTAAGTTTTTTGTTTTGAAACTCTTATTTTCATCCCCACTCCCTACTCTATTGCATTTCCATAGCATAATCTGAGTAGCCAGGCATTGCACTGAGTTCTCCTTTGTATATCCACATTAGCAATGTACTTTCTTGTCATGCACCCCCCCTTCTCTCTCTCCATTTTCTTTCAGCTCCACCCACCTTTTTCTTCCTAGTACCCTTCTTTGGCCTGTTTTCTGAGGTTCTTGTATCTTCCATGATTCCTTATGCAGGCCATTCTCCTTTTGGTACCCTTTGCTTAGATTACGAGCTGCTTGTCAAAACCAAACTGAAAAGAGTTTTTTCCTCCTGCCTGAGATCCAAGGGCCCAACCTGCAACTCTAAATATACTCTGAAGCTGTCATCTTGCCTGAACATAATAGGGTGGCCATGAATAACCATGCATTTATTTAGATAGCTTGAAAACACACGATGACAGTGTTACCATCTTTACAGGTGTGATAGTCCAATGCTCACACGCTGTTCAAGTATATTTTGTAACTTTTATGCATGATCTGATTTCCTTTCTCTGTGATGATCAGTGCCCTTTAAAATATGTCACACGTGTTTTATGTAACAGAATTCTTTGAATGTTATTTAACTATTTTTGAAAAAAAAGAATTGCATTGATAAACAGGTATGAGAAAACCTTCCGGACTGATAGGATGCAGTAAGGTGAACCAGCATTTATTACCGTACTTCTTTCCCCCCTTTTAACAAAGATCTAAATACAATCAGTTAGCATTTATAATGTACAATTTCAACAAATGTTCCATGGGGAAGGGAAGGGGGCAGAGAGATAAATGACCACTTTGCTTGGCTCTTTAGTACAGGTCAAATTGCAATAGCAAGGCAGAGGTCATTCTGCCTACAGACATGAAAATAATCTCATTACCACATAAAACTTTCTGAAGGTGTTCACTACCAGCAATGCTATGTCAATTTACATTTTTTTCCAGTCCTTAAAAGTTGAATTGGATAGATTGTATCTTGCTTTTTTTTCAGGTGGAATAATTCTTTACATAGTTCAATTTATTTTTTGCATACATGTTAGCACCTTCATGACCTTCACCCATTGTCCATAGGTGCATTATATATGTACATGACAGTTTTCAAGTGAAATACAGGTGCTATATTTACAGAAAAGCTACATACTGATGATCATGAACGCCATTTTACATTTATATAGCACCTTCCATTCCAAAGGATATGACTTTACAGAGGAATTCAAACTTACACTTTCTTAACCAACTGTAATTCAAGGCCAAATGTGGGCCAGATTTTCAACAACTATATTACACTGCATAGCCAAAATACACAATGGTTTGGGCCATAAGTAAAGGACAGATGCTTTTACTACAAGTTGTGTCCAGAAAACAGATTCTTATCAGCTACTGAAAGGATGAGTGTGAAGAGACCACTAGAACACTCTTTGTTTTGAGAAGAACTCAAGATGGCCAGAACTTCAGTTTTATACAGCATCTGGAATGTAGTACTTCTGAGAACACCAATGGCACGTTTAAACCCATTGCATGTGAAGTTCTGTCTCTGATGACAACGCCACCTATTAGTTCGGTCAAAAGCAGTACTTCCTGTGACACCTACAGAAATAGGACAAGGCAAAATGAAATGAAACAAAGGTGTCAGAAACAGTTTATAAAAATGGCACATTTATTGCTACAGAACGGTCATGTACATGACGGCATCGAATAACTACAGATGGGAAACAGGTAATGGCCTACACCAAGCTGTGTTTTTCTTCTTGAAGGAACTCCGGCACACAACCTGTTTGGACACTTCTACAAATCAGAAATACACCAAAAACATGAAAAAAATTGAGGCACTCAGCCACACATTGAAAACAAAGTGTAACTGTTTTTTATCTTTTTTTTCTTTTTGTCCCTTTTATAATTTTTCCCTTTTTTATGGTTTCTTTTCTTTTTTTTTCTTTTAACTGTTGCAGCTATGTGTATAGTCGCAAAAAAAATTGTCCCCACTGCGACCTACAACTAAAAAAAAAGAAAAGAAAAAGAAAAGGAAGAGGAAGAAGAAGAGAAATAGCTACCATACAGTTTTATCTTGGTAACACATGGTAAAATAACAGCTTTTAAATAGTAAAATAAAGTAACAAACTTTTACTCAGAATGATTTCAAAAATCTACAAAGAAATGTTCAGAATCCAACAATTCCCTCCCCCCCTTGCAATATTCATGGTATAAAAGGATTGCTCCTGTGAAAAATAAGCCAAATATATTTTTTTATTTTTAAATTTAGGGTTTTCTTTTATCCTACGAGGGTGTACTACAGTCTATTTTATAGCAAAAAGGTCACTAGACAAACGAAGCTTTGTAACAAAAAGCCAGGCACTGATACATGGTAAATCTCTGCTTTTTTTTCTCTTATCTTCACTTAGTTGCATCACAAGTAACAAGAATGAAAAAGGCCACAGTTCATATATTTTCACCATTACATAAGTCTATAATACTTGAAATGAGTATGGTCAAACCAGCACTGCACAAAGGTGAATCAACTTCAAGTCCCATGAGAAAAAAAATATGTTATTTTAAAAAAGAAAGAAAAAGGAAAATAAAGCAAGAAGCTGAAAGGGTCTTGGTGCCCCATTGTGTGGGAATCCATCACATTCCATCTTTAGGATACCTTTTTTTTCCCCTCCTCAAGTCAGTCTCTGGACTTAAGTTTAATTTATTTGTGCTTTTTCTCCCCGATGAATTCTCTTCACTCCTGGCAAATGTACTGTATTGTTCACTTTTCGGCACAGATTTGCATTGTGCCTTTCAGACAAAATGATGAAACCTGCAAATTCCACCCCATTCCTCCCGCCCGTTCCCACCCACCACCACCCCTCCAAATGAAAGTAACAAATAAAACAAATCGGAAGACTGCATCGGTACAAGTTGCATCACTGGTTGAACTGACAAGTTGTATAAACATTAGTGTTCCTTGCAGCTACACATAAGACAAATGTAGAAAAGAAAGTTCTAGATGAGCAGATTTCTCTAATCAGCATATTCATAAATTACTTGAATGTGGAGGTGGATTGCTCACTAAATGTCTGATAGTTTTCCACAGAATAGCATCAGCTTGGTTTACCATGGAACACACAGCCCTCCCTGGTCATTTAAGTCAAACCAGCCCCAGAGAGACAAGGGAGTGAGAGCCCCTCTTTTAAAAACAACAGCAGCAGCAAAAGCTAAGCAGTTCTTGAAGTCTGAGTGCAGAAAAAAAATACCCACCAAAAAACAGTGTGTCTGTTAGTTTTCAAGTTTAAATTCCATTATGGAACAAGAAACCACCTCAAAAGCCAAACAGACAAGATTACCATTTTATACCTAACAACTGTTCTGCTTCTATGTACACCACCATCACCTTTTTCAGATACATGCTGTGCTCACAAGTGCAGAGTGAAAGAATAGTAATTTAAATACTCATCCATTTAATTACTGATTGTGAGTGATCTTGCCTATGCATGGTTAAAGACTGACACAATTACATCAAGTTGGGCAATTAATGTAACAAAAAGCATCATGGTTATTTTGATTTGTTCGCTACCGAACAAATAAGTTTTATACCTTATTGTTTAATGTTCCTGATTACTAAAAATATTTAATCTGTTTTCTCCTATCAGAATAACCTCTCTTAAAAATCTATGTGGGCAGCACTCAATACTCTTATAGACGGAATGGGGCAGTTGAGATTCTGACATGAGTAAATGGAAGAACCTCACACTGATGACAGTGGAGATGAAATCTGATAACCAACTTGATTTATTCCAATATTTAGCAAAGCTTTGCCTCCTGAAGTAAATCCCCCTCAAAACCATTTGCATTTTTACTTTTAATCCTGAGCAATATTAATATGATTGACCATTAAAAGAGAATGCCTTCTATTCAGAGTACCTTAAAAAATTGGATTACCACACCCATTTTAAATCTGAATAAAGTCTATTAGGAGTACTGAATTTATAATGAAAATGCATTTTTTTGTTCAGACTTACTTTACCATGGATTCTGCTGTATTATACATTTAATTATAATGGTTTTAATCCACCTCCACATTTGAGAAACTTATTAACAAATAAAAGCATTTTAAAGTTTTACTGCTACTGAACATATTTACAATTTTCAACACGCACACAAAGATAATCAAAAAATTTATGGATATGTAGAAGGTGGTTCACATGGTAAACTATCATATTTGTTCTTTATGTTTTTCATAAACATAAAATTCAGATTCTCTTATCTCACAATTTAAATGAGATTTTGTTTCAACCACATTAAAAAAACAAAAAAACTGATACAATGTATTAAAACACATAATAACAAGAGTCTACATGTAAAAATATAACTTTTACATACACACTTTCAAAATAATGATACGCTTGCCATTTTGTTGCATAAAATTTACAAATGTATTTTTTCATTACTATGTAACTGGCAAAACAGGAGAACAGATGGAACGTCTAGACCGTTTTCAATGGACTTATGGCGTTTACCCAGTGCTGATAGGTGGAAAATCTAGTTGAACAGGGAGTTTGCATTTAAAAATACATGCCAAGTTTCTGTGGCTATTAAAAAACAAAACAAAACAAAAAAACAACCCTAAAAGAAAGCAACCAACCAACAAACCAACCCAACCCAAAAGAGGGAACTGGTGACAAAAGGATGCTGACAAAGACTTAACTGGGAGCACTATGCGTTAATTGTTCTATATATATATATATGTATAGCGATCTTTAGAAGATTTGCTATGGATACTATTTCAGTCACACCCAAAGCTAGTTATCAGATGAGTTGCTGTGCCATAGTTTTGATCTATGCTTACAGTTTCATATATATGTTAAGTAAAAACTTGTTTCGTACTGGCCAGAGAAATACTGTTGTACTCCCCCCTCCTCAAAAAGTGCAACTTAATGCTTTAGAACGTGTAAGGCTTGTTCTAACGCTGCATGAACAACAGGATATTGGCATTTTTAATGAATGAAGGAGGAGGGCAGCAAATGGTCTGTCTTTCAGTAATCCCCTTTAAAAAACATTTTCAAAAATTGAAATCTATTATTTAACTATCATTTTTCCCATTTAAAATCCACTCTCCCACCCCATCCCCTAGTCTGACCATGTATTCTGAAATGCCTCTCTGCATACTGTATTTAGGCTACACACATTAAGTTAACACTTCTACGAGTTTGTCAAATCACAGCCACCTCTGATTATGTTATGTTTCTGATGATATAAACATTGGAAGGCACAGTGGTAACATTGTAGCATTCTAACCTTGTACCTCTGAAAATCCCAGAAATAGGGTCTATGAGAACAACATTTATGATTCGGATCCCAACCCCCCATGACTGTTTGGACCAAATCTCAGCAACCTTGCTGGCAGTTTGTTTGCACATGATGTGACATATCAAGTCTTGTGTTCTCTCAAAAGACTGAAGAAACAACTTTCTACTTATTTATGAATGATAAACAACATTGGGGCCAGTGTTTCGTCCTGAACTGCCTGCCCAGCAACAGAGCTGGCACTACAGATTACAATAAAGAACCAACAGGCGAGGGGGAGAGGAAAAAACGACCAAAAAAAGTCCTTATTTACAGTAAAATCTTTTTTAAAAAAGTTAATCGGTACTTTTTTTTACAGGAGCAAAAAAGTCTGAATCAAATGAACAAAAGCTTACCATATTCACTAATTTTACTATATATATATTTANATGTGTGTGTATATGTGTGTGTGTGTCATAGGTCTATAAGATCCATCTGTTCCTCCTACACTAAGGAATGGCTAATGTCATCACTTCAGTTTTCATTAGGACGTTTGCTGGTTTTGTAAGTACGTGGGTAGCAATGCTTCCCTTTTTAAAATCCAGTAAGTATAAACACTAGATGACTAGTACACCAACGAAAACGTTCAGTTTTTTTTCTTCAGAAGTACACTTTTCATTATTGCAAGTTTACAATTTTTAAATTAAATATTTTTTTTCAGACTTACAAATTAATTATATTTTTTTTTCCAAAAGAAGTTTAGGCACAAATGCATTGTCCCACAGTGTGGAGAAGATTGCCATTCAGTCTCTTGGCTGTGCATTTACAGCTCCTAACATACTCTTGAAACATTCTGAATGATATGTTGAAGAGAGATGTCCCTCAAGTTGCACTTTTTCTTTCTCTTGTCTTTTCCTGTTTCGTATTGGGAATGCTGGAATCTCTTGCGTCTGTGATTTGTAGCTACTCAGACTTGTCTTATTATATTACAAAAAGGGGGATTAAGTGTTTATGTGGTTTTAAGATAATACAGCTGTTAAGGAAGTGGTCTCTGGTTTTACATGAAGAAAATGTGGCAACTTGGACCTGCAGAGAAATGAAAAACATTTAGGCTAGCCAAGAAGAGCCTACATTCATAATTTTCCACACAATACTTATGCTGTACAAAATTTCCTTGCAATACTACACACACACAAATGATGCATTTTCATATCTCAGTCTTCTGAAGGCCAAGATCAATTCAGAGACACTAAGTCTTAAGCTGAAACTAGATGCGATGCAGAAGGAACCCAAATTCTGCTGAATTCCTACAGGCAGTGAAGAGATGCAGAGCTAAACCTTGTTAGAGCTGACCCACTAACATTAGTAGAATTTGTTAACCACAGGTAAGGTAAGGCCCAATTATTTCAACAGATCTACTTTAGGGACAATTAATGTTGGATTTCACTTGGAGGTGGGCAAAGTGTGTCCTCCAGTTGCTACTGGATTCCATCAATCTTAGCTAACATAGACAATGGTAAGGAATTCTGAGAATTGCACTCCAACAGCAGAATACTGTAGGGCTACATTCTTCTCTTCCCGGGATGTAACCTGCAAAGTGCAGCAGGAGGATCGGTGCCCCTTTCCCCTGTCTGTGCTCTCCATCTCCCAATAACTGACAAAAGATGTTCTTCTTCCATCATTACTTGGGGTGGTTGGGGGTCCCCTGCCTGGGAAAAAATGACTAAATAAGAAACTTTTTTCGGTGCGGAATAGTTGGCTCCTTTTTTTCTTTTTAAAGTTGCACTTTAGATGTACATTAAACCATTTTGTGGACCTTGGTTTGATAGTGCTGAGATGCAGATGTGCTGCCATTGAGTCTGGATTGGCCTTCACATACTAAATCATAATAGAATAGGCCTACTGAATCAATGGTGATTTGGTTAATCAAGTCCTAAATAAATTACATTGACTCAAATGGGTTTACTTCAACTGTGACGAATTATGCTTAAATAAGCTACAGCTAGAATAGGCCCACTTGAATCAAGGGAAATTATGGAGGACTTGATTCACTAACCCTCTATTGATTCAATGGGCCTTCCTAGTGCAATTTACTCTACTAAGCAACAGTTTTGGCCACTGTGTACCAAAATAAACAAAGGAGACTGCCTGCATGAGCACACTCCCATCTCAGAATTCCCTGCATATAGATTTTTATACGTCAATGAGAAAGCTTTCCTTAGGATTTAAACATTACAGGGTGATAGATGCTTTGATGCAGGGCCTTTTTTATACGAGCAATCCCCAGGTTCTTTAAGTATGGTCGCATAAAAGATATGTCTTCTTCTCGCTCTGAATGTTTATACCTCCACTATAATTTACCCCAATCTCTCAAAAGTTATAAATGGGGAGACATGCCATTTTTGGATATAGACAACAGACCAAATCAGGGATATTTGTGCAATTTGGGGGCAACTAGCGGTTGCAGCAAAAAGCTGGTTGTGGTTCATGGGGTTGAGCAATCCCCTCCTGGACCCTTTAATTTCCACCAGACATTTGGTTGGTAAATTCTGGGGTTTTTTATATTTATTGTGTCTGCAAAACTGATTGTGCTGTGTAGCCTCACCTCCATCCCACGTCCGAGCCGACTGTGCTTCTGCATACAGTTGTGCCTCGCTTGATGATGAGAATCCAGCAAAATCGCTGTACAATGAAATCGTTGTCAAATGAAAGTAAAAAACCCATTAGAATGCATTAAAAACGGTTAATGCGTTCTAATGGGCGAAATACCTAATCGTCCAGCAAAGATACTCCATAGGGCGGCCATTTTCTGGTGCCTGTAAAGCGAAAAAGCCCTCCTAAACACAGTAGGGAGCCATTTTGCACAGCGGGCGGCCATTTTAAAACCCGACAATCAGCTGTTACCTGATCGTCATTAAGCGAAAAATCAGTTCCCGAAGCAGGGAACCAATCATCGTCAAGCAAAAAAAGG